CCACACCCACACCCTAGCCACACACACCCATACCCAACTGATCCGGTTTTTGCGATCTGAAATATCATTCGGTGATCCAATGATTATTGAGTATAATATCAAAAAAAAAACTCTAGTATGAAATGAGAATGAATTTTTGATAGGATACTTTATGTTTGTTTTATTGTTTCTTGTGAAGATATGAAAAAGAGAACGAAGTGCATGAATATATGTAATTAATAGTTTTTTGTTGTCTCATTGGTGACTACGCATTTCATTTTAAAGGTTGATAACTAGATTAAATAGGTGAGTAAAATAGGAATGTGAGTATCAGTGGAGGAACGTATATCTTCCAGTTTTAGAAAATTTTCAGCTTTTTTCAGCTAAAATCGTATTTTTTATTACAAAGAAAAAGACCGTAAAATTGAAAAAAATAAAAGGAAAGTTCAGCACCGTCTGCCACTTTTTCTCTTCGCCGTATCCCTCCATTAGAATAACAAAAATGATATTGAATAAAAAGAAGAAAAAACATAAAAAGAAAATTTATTTTTTAGATTTGAAATAAATCTCAAGAAGACGAACAATATCTTTTGATTTTCAAAACGAAATAACAAAGTCGAATGATATTCAAGTAAGATTTTATTTTAAAAAAATTCTTTATTTTTTTTTCTTTTTGAATTTATAAAATAGATAAATGTTATATCAGAAACAAGTATAGATAATCATACACCAAGTCATACTGAAACAATTATTGATAATAATAAAATTTCGTTATCACCAAATAAATTAGATCTTCATCGAAATTTAAAAGAACGACATATGATTATGATTGCATTAGGTGGAACAATCGGTACTGGATTATTTTTAGCTTCTGGTCAAGTATTAGCATCATCAGGACCTGGTGGTTCTCTTATTTCCTATCTTATTGTTTCCATTATGGTTTATTTTGTTATGACAAGTTTAGGTTTGTTTAAACTTTAAACATATATTTTTATTTAAAATACTTCAAAAAGTTTTTCTTTCTAATCAACTATATGACTAGATTAAATAACAAATCTCATAGAAAAGATTCTCTCGATATGTTAATCAAGAAAGTCAAGTTTTTTTGTTTATTATTTTATGTTTATTCGAAATATGAAATCTTTTTCTTTTTCATATAAATTAATATTTAACAATGAAAATCTTGAAAGAGAATTTAATTTTCGATAATTTTATATTTCAATGAGTCTATTATTAATATTTATTTTTTTAAGATTAAAAATATTTATTATTTAGTTTGATATTGTCAGAAAATTGTTAAAGAAAATAAAATTTCAATGAGAAAAATCTTAATCATCCTATGAATTAAATTATCGATCAGTTTAATGAAAATTTCAAGATACTTTACTTATTTTAATTGAAATTTGTAGATTATTTTGACAGATTCTCAATAATTCAAAGAATATTGTGTCTTTAAATTTAAGATCAACTAATTTTATATTTAAAAAAAAACACCAATCAGTATCGATTAATATTATCGAAATAATCTTTAGAGATAAATACAATAAACGAGTTTATATTTAAAAAAAAAGATTTTAATGAAAACCAACGTATAACAAGTCTTAGAAAAACATATCTCGTCAATAATTGTCTATTTAGAATTGACTAGAGAAAATCAAAATTAATCAACTAAAACTACAGTTTAATGCTCTTTATAACAATGTATGGATAATTTTTTTATTTTGACTTAAACTTATTTAAATGAGAGCAAGACACTACCCATGTAAAAAAAAATAATGAATAGAAAAATCTGATTTTAATCGAATTTTTAATCATAAAAAATCGATTTTAATAGGTTTTCTTACACATAATCAATTGTCATCAATTTTTGATGATTAAAAATCCGATAAAAATCGTGCCATTTTAATCGATTAAAATCAGATTTTTTCCGTTATTTTTTTACATGAGTATCTCTGAATCAATTTTAATTTATTCTTGCTTGATACTTGCTTCTCATCATGTATTACTCGATAATCGATTCTAATCTATTTTTAATTGTTAATCGATTTTAATCATATACATCAAACACAAGTACTTTTCTCAAGATTCGAAAGTGAAGCACTTTTATTAATGTTTTTTTTTGATTCCTCGTGGTAAGAAACCATGAAGGTGTCACTAAGTTAAAGTCCGATAAATAAAATAAAGTTGGAAATGGTATATAAATTGTTTCAGTTGAGATTGCGCAATTATTTCATTAAGCGATTTTATAAGTAATCGATCAGAGACTGTAACAGGGCACGGCAAGGCAAAAAAAATTTGCCTTGTGTCTAAAAAAGATTACAAAAAAACCTGATTCTATTCGAATTTTTCTGATTGAACGTCGAATAATTTGGTACTATTTTAGTTCTATTTTAATCAAATTACTCTGTGGATTTTTTAGACTTAGTACATAAAAATCTGGTTTTTGACTAAAAGACCATGCTTTCATAATTAAAATTACTTTACTCCTATTAAAAGTGTGCTAAAAACGTCTACCAATAAAAAAGGCCAAAATTCAGATTAAAATGACATTATTTTGATCAGATTTTTCAGCTTTACAGACAGATTTCATTTGATTTTGATCTTTTTTAATCAATTATAATTGAATATTAGAAACCGATTTGAACTGATTAAACTTTGTTCATCCATTAAATAGATTAAAATAGATTAAAAGCTAAATGAAATTTGTCTTTAAGGTTGAAAAATCCGATTATAAGATTTTTAGCCTTTTTTTCACATGGATAATGAAAGACTAAATCGTCAGCTCTATACAATTTATCATATACTTTACTTTCGTATTTCGATAATAAGAGACTCGATTAAAAAAGAAAAATTTTTGCTTTTTGAAAAACTCTCTTTTCTAAAAAGTATATGTTCGAAAAGTATTTAGAGATTTCTATTATTTTGGGTTCTAGTATAGTGTAAACGATGATTTCCTAGAAAATGAAATCTCTCGAAGGCTAACATGTGAAAATTATCTCACACTAAACGGTCTCTATAGAGCACGTCAACCTTGTTTTATTTTCTGTGAAAAATACTTTTTTGTCATCGAAATATTAATTTTAGAAAGATTGATGAGAAAAAAGCGGAATTTGTCAAAGATTTTCAATGTAAAATGCATGAGGAGACCTTGACAGAGTAACAGCAGAGAGTTTAGTCATAAAGTCTCATGTAGTCTTCTGAAAGTCTACGAAGTTTTTTGAAATCTTTTAAAATCCAGTGAAGTTGATGATTTTTCTCTTAAAGTATCTTCGAGGCAAAAGAATGTCGAAAACCTTTAAAAGTCAAGGATTTTAGAAAATCTGTATTCCAATCCAGAAGCATTGATGTATCTTTATACTAACTGAGTAGACGTGTCAGACAGAAGAAAATGTTCTATGAAAATTTCATCAAGTTTGGAACTGTGTTTAAGTTTTCCTACAACTATTACTAGCTGTAGCCTTGGATAGAAGGCTGGTCTGACTCAGAATTCTTCGGCTTAATCATTTAACCTATCTCCATACATACTGACTGACCGCATATTAGTCACGAGGGCCTTTTTGTGTATGTCAACCACATAGTCAGTTTGCTACTGAACGGTTGATCCAAGACAAACAGTCGTTAGTGACTTGTCCAAGGCCATTCTATGTATGATGAAGTCGAGATCTAAATACAGTATCTTGTGGATATATGTTAAACATCTTAACTACTCATCCATAGCAGCGACTTATTAGAAAATTCTTCATGGAGAAAGTATAGATACTTTTTCCAATAGGGAAACTATTAGAACAAAGTTTTTTCATATAGATTGATAGAGCAAGAGCTCTACGATTTATTTCGTAGATCTTTTTTACTTTCTTTGAAAAAGAATACTTTTCTCTAAGATGAGAGAAACCTAACCATTTTTGTATCTAGAAATTTCTCAAATTCTTCAGAAGCTAAAATAATTTTTTTAAATCAAAAAGTCAGTCAATATCCAAAGTACATTGTACATTGTACAAATTGCAAAAGATATCACTTTCATTTTATTTTTTTTTATCAAATATTTACGCTGTTGCTCACTGTATATCTGAAAATCTCATGAAGAGAAGTTAGAAAAATGAGAGAGAAAAAGAAAGAAACTACTTTTTTCTTTATAGAAACAACATATTTAATTTATTTGAATATTTTCTCAAAGATAAACAAGTAAATATGACAGAAAATAGATTATTAACCCTCTTCAATCATATCTAATTGTAAACAAACATATTTTGATTGTGTTTTATGTAGAGACGTTGTTTTTTGTCTTTACTCATCAATGTTTTGTTTTCTTTTAACTAAATTTCAGTCAAAATAAAAGAAAATAATCATTCGTATTGTTTAATCTTAATTCTCTCTATTCAATTCTAAGTATAGACAATAAATTGACAAGATATGTCTTCTTAATATATTGATTTTATTTGATTAATTTTTTTAAAATTTCTAAATTAAAATAGCTGAACTTTCAACACAATTTCCAACAAGTGGTTCATTTAGTACATATGCAAGTCGTTTTGTCGATGAAGCATTAGGTTTTACATTAGGTTATAATTATTATCTTGCTGGTGTAACAGTACTTGCTGGTGAATTAATAGCTGCCGGAATTATTATACAATTTTGGTTACCATATTTTCCAACTATTATTTGGTCTCTATTAGGAATGATAATAATGGTTATATTAAATGCATTTACAGTAAAAGGTTATGGAGAAGCTGAATATTGGTTTGCTATGATTAAAGTTTTAACTGTTATTATATTTATAATAGTTGGTTTATTAATTGATATAGGTATACTTGGACATGTTAAAATTGGATTTCATAATTGGAAAATTGATGGTGCACCTTTTTATCAAGGTATAAGTGGAATTATTGCTAGTTCAATTGCTTTAGCTTTTGCATTTGGAGTAAGTTTAATTTTAATTTTAATTATAATTTTAAATTTAAATAAATTTTTTAGGGTACAGAATCTATTAGTATAACAGCAGGTGAATGTGCAAATCCTCATCGTGATGTTCCACGTGCAATGAATGGAACTATTTGGCGTATTATTCTATTTTTTGTTGGATCAATTATAATAATGGGTCTTGTTATTCCATATAATGATCCTAGTTTAGGACATGATGGTATTAAAAATGCAGCTGTATCACTATTTACACTTGTTTTTGTTAAATCAGGTCTTAAACCAGCTGTACATATTATGAATGCAGTTATATTAACAGCAATATTATCAGCTGGAAATTCATGTCTTTATGCATGTACACGTATGTTATATGCTTTAGCTAATGAAGAAAAAGCTCCAAAACAATTTACATATGTAAATCGACGTGGTATTCCAATATGGTGTCTTATATTTACAGTATTAATATCAACAATATTATTTGGTTTATCATTTATTGGTAATAAAATAATTTATCGATGGTTAGTTAATATAGTAGGTGTAATGGGTTTTATAGCTTGGTTTGGAATATCATTATCTCATTGGAGATTTCGTCGAGCATTTATTTTACAAGGTTATTCATTAAATGATCTTGTGTATAAATCATTATTTTTTCCAGTTGGATCAATAATAGCATCATTATTAACATGTATATTTATTTTTGGACAAGGTTATTCAGCATTTACAACACATCCATTTAGTTTTAGTAATTTCTTAGCAGCTTATATAACATTACCTTTTTTTTTAATTATTTTTTTTGTTTATAAATTTGTTAAAAAGACACGTTTTATACCTTTGAAAGAAATTGATCTTGTAACTAATAATATTATGTTTCATCAAACATAACAAAACATCTAATATTTAAAATTTATGGTTTATTTTTTTTCTTTTTAAACAAAATAAATAATATATTCATATCATTATTCGAATAAGTTAGTTGATCTGTTTTCAATAAAAATAAAAATTATAAAATAATTAAGATTTATTAACAAGCAAAAACTTATTATATTGAAATAAAATCTACGTAGAAATTTTATTTCAAAAATAAAATTTAAGCAACAGATTTGAAACATTCACCGCAATTTCAGTATCTTATTGCGCGTAACATCTAATACTAAACACATCATATGATGTGTCTTGAAAAAAAAGGTTTAATAATTTATTTAGGAGTACCCAAAAATAGTGATGGCCACGTCTCAATTTCGTATAGAAGGCTTGAGGAAATTTTCTTTTCTTATGAGGTGATAGAGAAAACAAAGCTCTATTTTATCCCTATTTAGCTGGTATCATAATAATAAAATTTCGATAAGAACTGTTTTTCTATAAAACTTCACTAACGAGTGAAGCAAATTAAATGTTTCAATCATTTAATACGTTGCGTTAAAAAAAAATAAAATATACCACAAGATGCAGCGTGAATAGCTCTACAAGCTATAAAGTAATGCTTATTTTAATCGTGTACTTCTTGTCAAAAAAAAATTCTGTGCGACTGATTTTCGCTGCCAAGGAAAAATCAGGCGAAGAGAAATTTCTTTAAAGTGTTCTTTATAAATTGTAGAGCTTTTCATGTTGCATCTTGTGGTATATTTTATTTTTTTTTTAATGCAACGTATTAAATGATTGAAACATTTAATCTACTTCACTCGTTAGTGAAGTTTTATAGAAAAACAGTTCTTATCGAAATTTTATTATTATGATACCAGCTAAATAGGGATAAAATAGAGCTTTGTTTTCTCTATCACCTCATAAGAAAAGAAAATTTCCTCAAGCCTTCTATACGAAATTGATATGCGACCGCCACTAGTTTTTTATACTCTTAAGTGCTATTTTTTATATTAATATTTAGCTTTTCTTTTTTTTGTTTCTTATTACGTTCAAATATCATTTTCAATAGTCAATATAGATAAACTCGTCTCTATTGTTTATTATTCATTCATTTATTTAGTAAAACAAAACAAAACAAAAACCTATCAAATAGAATTGACTCGAAAATAAACGATTAAAAAGAATGATTTGATCGTGAAAATGTAATATATTTTAAGCAAGATTGAAATAATTTCATATAAGCATGTCGATATTTTATTTGTATAAATGGATAAAGAAATGGATTACATGTTGAATTTAACCATAAAAGCCAAAATGATATTTCAAATATAATTCCAGATATATTTGCATTAGCTGTTAAAGCTATTGCACAAATAACATATGGAAATAAAAATATAAGAAAAACAATAACAAGAATAAATAAAGAACGTGCTGCTTTACGATCTCGAATAATTCTTGAATCATATTGACGATTTCTTTTATATTTTTTATTATTATTTAAATGATTTTGTGAACGTAATTCATTTATTATCGATCTTGATACTTCAGTTTCACTTTCAATTCGATAGTCAATAAATGAATCACTACGATAATCATATGAAGAAGAAAAATTAACACTTGCACATTTTCTTGATAAATATAACATTGATGATGATTTACAAGTTTCTTTTGAATCTTTTTCATTTCTATAACAACAACGATTTACAGATGAATTTGTACTAAAATCAAACAAAAAAATAAAGAAATAATAAACATACATAGTTGAAGATTGTTTTTGAATAATTGTTGAATATGAAGAAATAAGTGATGGTAAATGTGTAATTGTATGTTGACAATTATTTGATGATTTATTATTTTGATTAAATAAATTTGAAAGATTTTTATTTGAAGAAGATAATTGAACACGAATAAATTTATCAATATTTTCATTTTCTTCTTTAGTTATTTTTGATGGATAACATTCAATTAAATTTATTTTATTTTTAGATAATATTGACAAATGTTGATCATCATCTGTATCTTTACTTGTTACTAATGATGATGAACCAATATTTCGTTCTCGATTTTTTGCATATTGATTAAATGACATAAGACGATTCATTTTTCGACTTCGTTTCCGTATATTTAACATTATTAACATATTAAGAACACATAAAACAATAAATGGCCAAATAAAATAATTGAATTGTGCTATTAACATATATACAAATGAACGATTATAATCACCTGAACAATCACTACGTGTTATATTATTATTATTAAATAAATTTAATAACCAAATACCCGGAGCAAAATTAACTAAAAAAAAAAACAATGAGCTCTTTTATTAATATTCTTCTAATAATAAAATCTTACTAAAAGAAAAACACCATATAGCTCCCATTACTAAATAAACAAAATGTTGTTTCACATATTTTCGATATGATATAGGATAAGCTATTGGCCAATAACGGTTAATACTAATTGCTACTATATTAATAACACTAGTCATTGTTGCAACATCATCAATTGTAACCTATTTTTGCATTAAATTATTTATTAATAAGTTAATTAATCAAATGAAAAGCTTTACCCATATTTTACAAAAAAGACTTCCATATGGCCATAACTGTGTCATACTAAATATAATAAGAATATATATTTGACATACAAAAAACAAAACAAAAGTTAACCTGAATGGAATATAAAATGGAATACAGAAAGAGCCAACAAGAAAATCCGCTATTGCCATATTTAATATAAAATAATCTTTTAAAAATAAAAATAATTTATTTTTAGATATGAGTACGGGGGATGTAGGGTGTGAATGTTAATCATCTCTGTATTCCTATCTACAGTCATGCTCAAAATAAATAATTACCATTGATTGTTCGCAAATTTTTGTCACAATAAAAAGCTAAAAGTACAATTATATTTCCAAGTGCAGTTATTAATGCAATAAGACTAAGACAAATTCCAATTAAAATTAAAATAATGATTGATGATGAATTTGATGTATTTATTATTGTCATTGTTAACAATATATATATAGAAAAGAACAGTTGTCCTTGAATATATTTCTATGTCATATTTTCTTCGTTTTTTGTTCTAAAAAAAAAAGAAATATTCTTATTAACAATCAATTATTAATAGAAAAATCTTATTAGAAAACAAATTGAATTCGTCCTTAGAAGTATAAAATAAGAAATAAATGGTTAGAAAATAATCGTTATTGTCTTCGACGCATATCCTTGTTTTTTTTTTTTAACAAACGGAAACAAAATTGATTTGACGACTAATTTAAATCTTACTAACAATTCTTTTATACTTGATATGACTTCTATTCTACAAGAAAATAATTACCTGTCATGTTAATATATTCATCATCTCAATAAACTTTCTATGAGAAGTTCAACATCTTTAGTTTTTTTTTTATAGAACATCGTTACTGGATACACAATAAAAAACTTAAATATGTAATATTCTATGTAAAATAAAAAAAAAAACTTGAATCTGGTAAGATGATTAATAATCAAACTTGTGAGCTTTGACAAATGTTGTTTTTATACTCGTCGAAAAAGACAATGAATGTAACGAATATTTTCCGAAGAAAATAACTCTTCTATTTTTTTTTTGGATATAATCAAGTGCAAAAAACAAGAAGATTTATAGAGCACTAAATACACTTTATTTTCTTGTCATCGACCGAAACTCAAATTATATTACAAGGCTGGTTCTTATCTTTTTTTTTGGTTTTTACTATTAGCAGTTCCTATGTGCTAACTAAATCTAATTATTTTTATGGGTCCATTATTCTATCACACAAAGCTTCAGCTATTTACTTGCTTTATATATAGATAAATACACTTCTATGAATAAAACAAAAATCTAGTAGAAGGAAAATTGTTCGGTTCTTTTTTTTTGTTTTGTTCTATTAATCAATAGATGTTATTGATCAAGTAACAATCAAAAACGATCCATCAATGAAATATCTGATTAAAATAATACAAGTATTATTAATATTGGTACATCGACATTTGAGCTTCAATAGATTATAAACATCAAAATGATGATATTTATAAACTTTATTAAAAAAAAAAAAACTAGAAATTAAATAAAGCTCTGACTCTCTTGAAATACTATTGTCTTGTACATGTGTGAAAATTACTAATTAAGTTTTGTAAGTATTCATCCATTTGTTCATATAAAAGGCGTTTAATTAATTTTATAATTCAAGTGTTCCCACCCACACTCATAATCACACTAGATCATGCTGCTATTCTCGAGACAAAAACTAGTCATCTTATTCTTCTCGATCAATATATTTAAACAAATTGATTATCTACGAGAGTATCAGGTCAATAATACGAAACAAATAGAAAAGTTATTCATCGAAAATTTGTCATCATACATCTCAGCACTCCGAAAAAAAAATAAGTTCTAATAACATATATTGATTGTTGAAGAATTCATTTTGACTTCAAAAATAATTGAAATCCAAGATGTTTCTCATCGAGCTTATTATGAAAAAATTTTGTTATTGTTCTATTTGATTTACTTAACTAGCAGGTTCTTGAAAATGTTAAACCGATTGGATATGATGTCATTTTTTGAAATTTGTAGAGAGTATGTGAATGATGATGGTTATGAACCTTAATTTCACTAATACTTATTAACAAACACTCAACACTCAAATTACTGCAAAAAATAGGATGAACAAAGTACCTTTTTTTCTGTCTTTCGACTGATGAAACATTGCATTCGTCAGGTTTCCTTTCCTTTCATTTCTTCTTGTATCAAATGAAATTTGTTGATGATTGAAAAACCTTCGTAATGAAACATCGGTATTGAAAAAGGAATGATTCTTTTTTTTTTACATCGATTGAATTTCTATGGTTTATTTTCTGAAGGAAAAGTTATTATCAAAGCTTACACTAAGAGACAAAACAACTAATAAATCGATTTTGAAATTCTAAATTTATTGAAGAAACAAGTGCAAACACTCGACTCCCTGTGAAAAATGATCCACTCTTACTGATAATTTCAGCTTTATCAATGTACAATGACAAAGCTTTGACCAGAATCTTCTCTCTTCTTGTTCGGCGAAGATTCTGTGGAGGTCTGTATAGCTATCATACTGACTCAATTATTGCTTTATACTTTCACAAAGAGCAAAAGTTTCACAGTTGTCATTTATCTTCATGTCTGTGTCAGTCATGACTCAAGAGGATTTCATCATATTCAGAGAACAGGAAAACGAGAGTGATTATAAAAAAGAGAAATAGAATAATGAGTCATCAGCAATCAAAAGATCATTACTGTACAATTATTGCCGTTTGTTCAAGTATAAGAAGGTCAGTGATGTGATTGAAAGAGCATACTTACCTGCCACAGGATCTTTCTTGATCAAAAAGAAGGAAGTCTCCGATCAAGACTCTGTTCAGGTAAATGGACAAAATTAACATCAGAGAGAAACACATTATCTCTTCGAGTGGATCATTTTTCACAGTGAGTCGAGCAGTTCCGTTTGACTTCTTCGTCAAAATCATATGATAAAATCTCAAAGATCTGATTGTATTGCTCTTAGAGACACACCTGTTTAACAATATGCTCAATAGCAAAAAATGATTTCGTGGCCTTTTTGACCTTAAAAATTTCTTGCAATGATGGTTTATTTTGTATATCTCGTCGTTCGCTCAATGTGAACGTTGTAATGGTGTCTAGTATTCAATTTCACTGTCTAATCGAACGAACAGAATCATGTATTGATCCAAGATGACCAAATAGGATAGATTAGTTAATGGTGATCTGTCAGCGCGTTCAAACGGACAAATACAGTAATTTCATGATTATCATCCTTTCTCATTAGATGACGATCACTTCAATGAGCATTCTCAATTTCTATAGGTCGATCTATCTTCTTCGTCTTGTTCGTCATTGATGTCGATGTAATGATTATAAAATTGTCATTCATAGTTTATGACGTGACATCGGTATTCAAATTATCTGACATAAAACATTCAGAGTCAAATCAATTTCAGCTTGAAACATTTCGAGCTGTAAGGATCACTCGATGTCCACAAAAAGTTTTTCAAGGGTGTGGGTGTGGGTGTGGGTGTGGGTGTGGGTGTGAGTGTGAGTGCGGGTGTGGAGTGGGTGTTGTTCTTCATTGAACCCACACCCACACCCACACCCACATCCACACACCCACACCCCACACCCACACACACCCACACACACCCCACCCACACCCACACCCCACACCCAATTTTTACTGCATATACCTGGTATGATTCATTGAATTTCTCATTAGCTTTGCCTTCACACAATATTAGACACAATAAATATTATATTAACACCTGTCTTGAGTATATTATAGGTGAATTAAAACAAAACTTACCAGGTTTTAAAAAAGCAATGCTATATTTTAGTGATGATACTGCTTCTCAATTCAAGCAACGATTTTTATTTCAGAATTTAAAAAGATTGTTAATTGATTATGATTTAAATTTATCCCGAAGCTTCTTTTGCTATCAGTCAGGGTAAAGGCATAGTAGATGTCATTGACAATATCGTTAAAAGACTGGTTTGGCAAGAAATTATGACTAGACAGCAATCTAAATCAGCAACTAGTTCCGTACGTCTTGCCAAAAGCAAAACCAATACCGTTATGTGACATGCAAAAACACAAACAGTCATTACATGTAACTGCTATACGTGACGATATCACTGAATATCGTTTATCTAGTCAATCGACAAGTTGTTGGGTAGTGAGATTTCGAATATAACATATTTGAACAGTAGATTTTTTAAAGAAGTATTTTTATTATATCATTACAACAAAAGTGTTTTTGTGTCATATTATTATAAGAAAAAGCGTGTATTTTTTTTTGTAATAAATAATTGAATTTTACTATAACCTTCCTTCTGAATTGTTCAGGAATCGTTTAAATAAAGCCTTGCTGTATAAACGTTGAAG